CTTGTATCTGCGGTCGATAATGATGATTAATAAGAATATTAGTAGATTGATAATAATAATAATAATAATAATAATAATAAATGAACTAATTAATGGACCACCTTGACCACCATTAGCATCAGTATCTGCGGTCGATAACGATGATTAATAAGAATAAGAATATTAGTAAATTAATAATAATAAATGAACTAATTTAATAATAATAATAAATGAAGTAATTAATGGACCACCTGGACCACCTTGGTCTCTTGTATCTGCGGTCGATAACGATAATTCCCTAACCCTAACAATGATAATAAGAATAAGAATAATGAATTAGTAACAATAATAACATTTATTAACGTATCGATTAATGAATTAATTGACGGACTTTTTGGCCGCCTCCCTGGGCTTCTTCTCGACCAAATTCCTCTTCTCCCTCCATCTACCTTCCGCTGCGGCCGGCGACGAATAATAAGAATAATAATCTTCTTTATTAATGAATTAAGTCATTAATGACTTTTTGGCGCCCCCCCTGGGCTTCTTCTTGACGACTTTGGTCTTGTCCCCAATCAGCTTCAGCCCTTGCTTCTTAATTTCCTCCCGGCCGGGAATGTAGCTGTGGTCGATGTCGGCGAAATTGAAGGCCTCTGGGGGCGGAATTAAGAAATAATATGAATAAGAATAAGAATAAGAATATTAAGAATAATAAAAATAAAATGAATAATAATAATAATAATAATAATAATAATAATAATAATAATAAATATTAAAATAATAGGCCTCTGCGGGCAAAATTAATAATAGTAATAATAGTAATAATAGTAATAATAATAATAATAATAATAATAATAATAATAATAATATAGGCCTCTGCGGGCAAAATTAATAATAATAATAATAATAATAATAATAATAATAATAATAATAATAATAATATAGGCCTCTGGGGGCAAAATTAATAATAATAATAATAATAATAATAATAATAATAATAATAATAATAATAATAATAAATAAATAAATAAATAGGCCTCTGCAGGCAATAATAATAATAATAATAATAATAATAATAATAATAATAATAGGTCTCTGCGGGCAAAATTAATAATAATAATAATAATAATAATAATAATAATAATAATAATAAATAGGCCTCTGGGGGCGAAATTAATAAATAATATTAATAAGAATAAGAATAAGAATATTAAGAATAATAAAAATAAAATGAAATATAATAATAATAACAACAACAACAACAATAATAATAATAAATAAATAAATAAATAAATAGACCTCTGCAGGCAATAATAATAATAATAATAATAATAATAATAATAGGCCTCTGCGGGCAAAATTAATAATAATAATAATAATAATAATAATAATAATAATAATAATAATATATAAATATAATGATGATCATCCCCCCTTTCCCCCCTCGGCGCCCTCCTGAGTGACACCCGGAGGGAGAGCCCGCCTCCCGGGCTTTGGGAGTTGTTGCGCCCGGCGCCCGGCGCACCTCGGACGTCTTCGTCGTCCTCCAAGGCGATCCTCAGGTTCTGGGGCTCCTCCCGGGTGCTCTCTTCCAGAAGGTTCCGCACCTGGACGAAGGTCTGGGGAAGGCGTTATTAGCCGAGAATAATAATAATAATAATAATAATAATAATAATAATAATAATAATATAATTAATAATTGTATTAATAAGATGAGTATGTATGTATAGATATATATATAATAACATAATGTATATAGTGGGGGGTTCGTTATTAGCCGATAATAATTAATAATTAAGAACTGTGTAATATTTAATAATTAAGAACTTAATAATTAATAATTAAGAACTGTGTAATATTACATAAACAATGTAATATATATAGTATATAATATATGTACTATAGTTCCCAGTGGGGTATATAATGTAATATCTAAAAATATATTAGATGATGATTAGACTGCTATAAATATATATATATATTTATATATGTATATATTATATAAACAATATAAACAATATTTATATACTAAATAATTTATTCTATATATATACAGTATATAATATAATATTTTAATATATGCATATTGATATTAGATTATTAGTATATAATCTATATTAAACATATATAATTTATATTCTAATAATCATCTAATATTAATATACTGATATGGATATATATCATGTTATATATTACAGACATTATATACTTGTGTGTTTTATATATATATATAATGTGTATAATATATAACAATATATCCATATCAATATATAAATATTAGATTATTATTAGAATACAATAAATTTAATATATATTATATTTTATCTTATTATATATATACATATATATATAAGTACATAATATATATATATATAATATAAATTATACATATATATATCTAATATTACATATTTATTTTACATATATAATACAAATATCTAATGCATACAATATATAATATATATATTAATAGATCAATGTGAAATTATTAGATTAGAATATTAGTAATAACCCCAGGGTTTATCACCCTGCGCCTGGCGCTACAATTCCCAGCATGCCTTTCTCCCTGCGCCTGGCGCTACAATTCCCAGCCTGCCTTTCTCCCTGCGCCTGGCGCTACAATTCCCAGCATGCCTTTCTCCCTGCGCCTGGTGCTACAACTCCCAGCATGCCTTTCTCCCTGCGCCTGGTGCTACAACTCCCAGCATGCCTTTCTCCCTGAGCTTGGCACTACAATTCCCAGCCTGCCTTTCTCCCTGCGCCTGGCGCTACAATTCCCAGCATGCCTTTCTCCCTGCGCCTGGTGCTACAACTCCCAGCATGCCTTTCTCCCTGCGCCTGGTGCTACAACTCCCAGCATGCCTTTCTCCCTGAGCCTGGCGCTACAATTCCCAGCCTGCCTTTCTCCCTGCGCCTGGCGCTACAATTCCCAGCATGCCTTTCTCCCTGCGCCTGGCGCTACAACTCCCAGCATGCCTTTCTCCCTGCGCCTGGCGCTACAACTCCCAGCATGCCTTTCTCCCTGCGCCTGGCGCTACAACTCCCAGCATGCCTTTCTCCCTGCGCCTGGCGCTACAATTCCCAGCCTGCCTTTCTCCCTGCGCCTGGCGCTACAATTCCCAGCATGCCTTTCTCCCTGCGCCTGGCGCTACAACTCCCAGCCTGCCTTTCTCCCTGCGCCTGGCGCTACACTTCCCAGCATGCCTTTCTCCCTGCGCCTGGCGCTACAATTCCCAGCATGCCTTTCTCCTGCGCCCGGCGTTACACTTCCCAGCATGCCTTTCTCCCTGCGCCCGGCGCTACAATTCCCAGCATGCCTTTCTCCCTGCGCCTGGCGCTACAATTCCCAGCATGCCTTTCTCCCTGCGCCTGGCGCTACAATTCCCAGCATGCCTTTCTCCTGCGCCTGGCGCTACAAACTCCCAGCCTGCCTTTCTCCCTGCGCCCGGCGCTACAATTCCCAGCATGCCTTTCTCCCTGCGCCTGGCGCTACAACTCCCAGCCTGCCTTTCTCCCTGCGCCCGGCGCTACAATTCCCAGCATGCCTTTCTCCCTGCGCCTGGCGCTACAATTCCCAGCATGCCATTCTCTCGAACCCGGCGCTACAACTCCCAGCATGCCTTTCTCCCTGCGCCTGGCGCTACAATTCCCAGCATGCCTTTCTCCCTGCGCCTGGTGCTACAATTCCCAGCAATACCTTTCTCCCTGCGCCTGGCGCTACAATTCCCCACCATGCCTTTCTCCCTGTGCCCGGCGCTACAATTCCCAGCATGCCTTTCTTCCTGCGCCGGGCGCTACAATTCCCAGCCTGCCTTTCTCCCTGCGCCTGGCGCTACAATTCCCAGCCTGCCTTTCTCCCTGCGCCTGGCGCTACAATTCCCAGCATGCCTTTCTCCCTGCGCCTGGCGCTACAACTCCCAGCCTGCCTTTCTCCCTGCGCCTGGCGCTACACTTCCCAGCATGCCTTTCTCCCTGCGCCTGGCGCTACAATTCCCAGCATGCCTTTCTCCCTGCGCCCGGCGTTACACTTCCCAGCATGCCTTTCTCCCTGCGCCCGGCGCTACAATTCCCAGCATGCCTTTCTCCCTGCGCCTGGCGCTACAATTCCCAGCATGCCTTTCTCCCTGCGCCTGGCGCTACAATTCCCAGCATGCCTTTCTCCCTGCGCCTGGCGCTACAACTCCCAGCCTGCCTTTCTCCCTGCGCCTGGCGCTACAATTCCCAGCCTGCCTTTCTCCCTGCGCCTGGCGCTACAATTCCCAGCATGCC